GGACGAGTGGCTTGCTTAGACATGCCAAAAAACTAGGCTTCAATACCGTGTGCAATCATCACTAGGTTTGAGGGTTGGTATAAGGAAAACATAGGAAATCAATCTACGGACAACCCCGTTTTTTAAAGCAAAATATGGAGATTACTTGCAAATTTCATGCCAGGCCAGTTCTCGGAATTAACTTGAGGGACGACTTTACACATGATCAGCAGCAACACTTCGTCCATCAATAGGGATGCATGCCGGAGACATGGTCGTACTGGGTAATTGTCATATTTCTTGACAACAATCATCATATTTAGCAATGTTTGTCAAACACACATAATTATACAATAATATGTCTTGACAACAATCATGATGTTTATTTTGCTACATTCACAGAAGCTGGCACCAATTATCATTCTTGCCAGCTTCTGTAAATCTCCCCTGACTGTCAAACCTCCCCTTTTTGGACTGTTCATGATCTCACTGCAGAGTCATCTCCAGCCCTACAGCCGGGCCCCCAACGTGGCCGAAAAACGAGGACGGTCTTCGCCTGGATTAAGATCAATGATAATATAGACAACAAATGACAACAGGAAGAAAATACATGCCCACCAATCATTGGATTGGTTTAAGGGATAATTTACAGGAAAACCCTCATATGTCATAATATGTCATGGGTAAAAAACATGGTTTCCGGCTAAGATTTTCCCTTAAACCAATCCAATGAACCAAATGTGACATTTCAGTGCTCGCTATGGCTATGTCTGTCATACCATGCTGCACGCCACTAGCTTGTAAGAATCGTACGTGATTCAAAGATGTTTTCTGATTCTACAAAGGCCATGTTTTCAAGTTCCAACTGCAAGTGATTCCAAGCACTCAAAACAGGCAGTATCTGTCATAGGTTCGACTTTAGAAATGTCATTCTCACCGATTGGAGTGGTGCCTTTACCCTGTGGTGCCCCAGTTTGTTAGCGATTTGTTAGCTTGCAACTGGATCAACTGTTGGATTTTGCGGTTAGATGAGTTTATGAATCATCTTACAAACTAGGGAGCACCGCCTTCTAAATATTATGAACTGGTTGGTTGACACTGAATTGCGTGTTTACAGGATTATCAGGACATATCAGGACTGTCGTGGATGTAAGTAAAAATCCATAAAAATCAATCGTTGAAAAAACCTAAAAGACACATAAGACATCGGTGACCACATGGCTGCAGCCGCTTACCTTGGCTACTCATAAATCTACCGTGGTGTAGAGATGCTGTTCAATTCTGGAACCAAACATGACCCATACCCATTCAGTCCGCTTTCTACAACAAACAGCCATTACCCTCTGGTAATCATACAAAAAACTATGGAACATTACCATTTTATAATGGGTAAATCCACTATTTCTATGGCCATGTTCAATAGCTATGTTAGTTTACCAGAGGGTATTGCTATTGCCTCAAGATATGGCCAATCCTTTCACTTCTGGTAGTCTGATCAGGCCAACTGGCAAACCACTTTTAGGCGGATAGAGATATCCATTCATAAAAACCAAAGTGACTTTTCTGTTCCATTAGCTTTCATACACAAAATCGACTTGCCCAACCGACCATTGCCAGAGGGCCAGAGGGGTCGTTGTCTGAAAACAGGATATTACCCCAAATCCAATGGACTATCCAAACATTGTTCTGACAAACCATGAAAAATCCTAGTTAAATTGAATATGTTTTAGGTATATATACGTATATATATATATATATATATATTGTATATATATATATATATATACACATACATACACGTGTCTGTGTGTGTGTGTCATTAATCATTTCAACGGATTAAATGGCCATCTGGGGAATATACCATAGATATACCCCAATTTCTGGCCCAATTGTTATTGCCCAGCACCTCTATGGATGCGATGCCCTGGCCAGCCATCATGGAGGGAGCCTCAGAGAGAATCATCGATGGTGCGTTTGTAAAGTTCGTTTCTAACAGACTTTTGGGGGGTTAACAATCTTGTTAATACGCACCATCTTGCAGTTTGTTGAATGATTCCTAGGCTTTATGGTGATTGCTAGAGTTAGAGTTAGTTCGATGGGTTCGCAAATTGATTTGTAACAAGGGAACACCAGCTTTCAGCAGTCAGTGACTGTTGGTTGTTTCATTCGCAGCATAAAGAGCATGATCAACTTACATGGGATTCATGCGGGTTGAAAGGGGCTGTTCATCCTACCATCAATAGGGAGCCCTTATAAAGGGAATATTCACACTCATTACTGTAATCAAGGGATAACAATCCCCTCTTGAAGTATTCAAAAAGTAGCCACATATATGCCATGTTTTGACAAATTTTGACGATGGCACTCATATTATGAATATCGGCTTAATCTTCGGTGCAGTACCTATGTCCCACAAGAAACAATGACAATTCCCATGAGGAGGAGATCAAGTCGCCTACACTGACACGAAGCAAACGCTGGCTGATGATGATAGCCAGCGTTGAAACTTCACCGGTTCCTGTGAGATAAGAAACTCATTGGAAAGGGACCTGCCACAGTTGTTTAAGCTTCTTTAGCGGGACCATCCAAAGTGTCAATCCTAGAAAGAAGTGTCACCAACATCTTTGGACTAAAACCAGCATTAAAAAAAAACACCAGCAAATGTACACATTTCGTTCAAATAGCTGGTGCTATTTGAACATATTTGGGCGCCCCCTACACCCACGCAGATCATCTGCGTTGCCATCTGCAGATTGCTTCCACAGTGCAAGTGTTTTGGTATCGACTCACAGGTCAAAGTACAGCAAAGAAGAGATCTATCTACTAGAAACACATAGAAACAAACATATACCATCATATACCTATAGGCCTACAGTGTCTATATGGTGTATCATGAAACCAAACAACGAACTCCCCAAGCGATCCCCCGAGAAACATATGGCTTTTGCGGCTGCCGCCAAGGTGGAAGACTCCTGACCCAGGCGATAAAATCGCCAGATTTAGACCCTGTTTACCCCACAGGATCTAACAGGGTTACCATCTACGTACTGTGAAGAACCCCCAAGGACATACCCTCTGGTAAACTAACATAACTATGGAAAATCACCATTTTCAATGGGAAAATTCACTATAAATGATGATTTTCAATAGCTATGTTGAATTACCAGAGGGTAAGCAATGATGTGATTCAGGAAGAGTCTATGATGGTGATGCAATTGGGATAGAATGAGGACATGACTCTGACATTATCTTGATGAGATGTATAATTTGCCACGGCGATAGAATGGGTCATTGGGAAGACTTTGGCTAAATTGCAATCAACTTAGGTTACCAGATCTATAATCTTGGGTCATCCACATCCTCTTCTAAAAGTTCAAGTCGCAAGCATTTGATATTGATTGGACACTGGATTTTGATCATCATCAACATGGCAAAAAGGGAGTTCTATAGAAATGTGTGTTAAGACGGATTGTAAATGATCATAACCCATAGGATCCATGTATTTGTTAACATTTACCATATTTTACCATCAATATACCCAAATGTTAGCATATATACCATACATGGATCCTATGGGTAATGGATCATACTAGTGTAGGACTTTACGATCAAGCCACAGGACTCTTGGTCATCGCCCAGATCGATTCTTTCTCCGACGCGTTTCTTGGTGGACTCGAAGATCGTCGCGAGACGGGTGCCGTTGGAGGTTGGCGACGTCGTGGTTCAGGTGGTTCACTACCAGGCTGCCTCAAGTGTCGGGCAGGTGACCTTGGGTCACATCTTCCCTTCCAAAACCATCACAGGGTTTTGTCTCATATGGATTTGTCTCATTTTTTTTCAGGTTACCAAGTGCTACCATCCCAATGATCCAAATGGCCATAGGGCCTAGGGAAAATGCTGCGCTGTGGATCTTGGGGTACCGTGGGGTACCCTATTCTAGACATCTAGTTCTGTGGCAGAAAATGTGGGTTTGCAGTTCCCAAAATGCTCAGAACAACACTCAGGACTCGTTTGAGCCGAGGAACCATGAATGGCATCTGTGTTGTTCCACTGTCTCATAGGCATTCGATAGGACCTGTAAAACAGCGGTGGGAATCAAGACTCGAGGGAACATGTAGAGTGGATTACCCTCTGGTAAACATACAGTTTGCTATTGAGAATGGCCATTTATAGTGGATTTTTTCCCATTAAAAATTGTGATTTTCCATAGTTATGTTAGTTTACCAGAGGGTAAATTTGGCAGTGAATTCAATGTGAATTCTTCAGTGAGGACCCCATTAGCTATTGCACGGATTTGCCTACCGCAAACAAATAAAAACTACTGAATGATTCTGGACAAACTAAAACGATCTCCAAATATGAATAAACCCATCCACCCACCCAAAAAAGCTGGGAAAGCACATCATTTTTGTTTGATATATAAAAACATATAAGAACATAAACACTTCAACTGCTGAACTTAAAAAAAAACTTCTGACAACTTCTGAAAAGATCTGCTTGGTGTTTTTCACTGAAAAAAGCGCATCATTGGGGATCATCATCCCATTTCTATACTTGAACAGTTCGAACATATCAAACTTTTGAAACCACCAGTGATCCATCTCGGTGGCCAAACCCACTAAAAAAAACTGCTTAGTCAGTCAGATTCAGTAGTGTTCAACACGCCTTTTTTTCAAATGGGATAACCCACGCATCGGGGACGATGCGTGGTCACCAATGATCCTCGAAACAATTCTCAAGTTGGTGTATCCCTATCATTCCCCATTTATCTCGATATTTCCACCATAAATGGACATAAATCCGACAATTCGCCTGGATGGGTTTGTCATAGGGATACCCACAAATAGCCATCAACATCATTTAAAGATAAGAAAGTGATCATAATCCCTTGGAACCGGGTATCCTATGTTCGAACAAGCCCAGGTCCAAACTTCTGACTTCAGTGATGCATCCTATCCCTTCTGATCCCTTGGTGGCTTCAGTGGCTTCAGCCTGCGTCAGCACGGCGCCATGATGTCTCGTCACCCAAGGTGCAACGTTGGGTCCAGCGCCGCGTCCCGCGGCACGCGCACCGGAGCCAACTTGGACGAAGCGTCGATGCGATGGATCTCAGCCACCAAGTGCCGCAAGGCCTGGGGCATGGTGAAATCATAGGGGTTTCATGGGATCTCTATGGATCTCTATGGTAATGGTCAGTGCTCCATAATAAAACCCATCAAACCCATCAAGATCCAATCAGGATTCCATGAAGTCCCAGTAATTTCCATGTAATCTGGTTGGTGGTTTCAACCCCTCTAAAAAATATGAGTCAGTTGGGATTATCATTCCCAAAATATGGAAAGTCATAAAATTCCATGGTTCCAAAGCACCAACCAGTCAAACATTTGGATTACCCTCTGGTAAATTAACAGTTTAATAGGTAAATGAACTAAAAATGACCATGTTATTAAGTATTACCCTATGGATCCCTATGGTTATTTAACATAGCCATGGAAAATGCCCCATAGAAATAGATGTGTTTTGATGATTTACCTATCCCATAGGATCCATGTATGCTATATATGGTAACATTTACCATTTTTTTACCATCAATATACCCCAAATGTTAGCATATATACCATACATGGATCCTATGGGTATTAAACATGGTGATTCTCCATGTCCATGTCTCCAGCTTTTCACCCAGGCACCGTCCTCAAGTCCATCCCCTCCAGCAATGGACACGCCACGCGTTGCGCCAGCCGCACTGCAGCGTTGGACGGCGCCGGGCCGCGGCAGCTGCCGCAGTGGCAGGGTCCCGGGAGCGATAGCAGGACCAAGGGCCTTGGGGAAGAAACGCCTGGGTCCTGCAAGCACTTATGAAATTTACCAGGTTTTACCTGGTTTTTACCACATATGTTTTTAGCACTTGTAGCAATTTTTGATGGATACTGTATTACTGGAGGGTCTAAAGAGTTTTCAATGGTGCCTAAGTTTCACCTAGGACCTAGAACGAGAAAATGTATTTGTTAGTGACCTTGTTAGTAGTTGATGTAGTTGTACGTAATTCAATTGTCCCAACTTCATCTATGATTGCTGGGAGTTCACGGAATAAACAGAAAAAGGCAATGACAATGACACCGCACCACAATGATAGCAACAAAGAAAGTAGGCCTTAAGAATCAAAGATCAGAAAATATGGTTCCTTCATCTAAATTCTCATTATTTTAAATCGACCTAGGCCCTCAAATTGCCACTGAAAAGGGATGGTTTTTGTCATGTTACGGGTACTTTCAGCCATCAAGGGTGGACATATCATAACGACCGCGGGATCTGATTGGTTGGGAGTTCAGTCAAGCAATATGGATACCCATAGTCCAGAGGTTGGCAATACAAGCAGTCCATTGTGATTTCACTACCAATCAACTACCAATCAGTCTTCGCACATCAAAAAGGTGGGATTCAACCAGAAACTACCAATCGTCATCTGTTAGTGAGGTCGTTGTTTTCAGCGTCTTTAGTTTGCCCAGGAACATGTGAGGATCAAAATACAGTATCCACATTAGTCGAAAAAAACACATCTAAAGCATTCTAAAGCTATATAGTGAATTTTTTCTACTGCTACCTTTGGCAACGGCTAGGCTCTTTTTCTGCCCAGCGGCACATATGGGAAAGTCCCAAATCGCCTTTGCAGCGTGTAGTCATATGTCTTGCAGCCATAGCCAATGGAGCGTTGAAACTCCTCCGTTGAGATCGACCTAACCATACATCAAACATGTCTCACTCTTAGAAAAAATGGTTTTCACCCTGGTTATAAATGGGCTGACTAGGATTAGTCCCGTTATAACATGTTATAACTGGGGTTGAAATCGATTTACTGAATAAAATGAACCACTAAGTAAAGATATGTAACGACTGTTTAAACAACAAACGTGCAACATATGTTCTTTCTAGATTGTTTACACATTTGCTAGTTGATTTGGAGCTATATCAGTTGGACAGTGGACACGCTCTGAGTGTTGCGGGTAGGCGTAAGAAAAGCCTTAGCTCAGACCATGGGGTGTGTGCTCTTCGTATAAATGTTTCAGCAACTTGTCCACGTCACGTTCCTACATGTGGTTGTCGCCTACGCATATGCCATCTGGCTTTAATTTGTACGCTCTGGCGAGTCCACCACATGTCCTTGTTGTCATAATATTTAAGCAAGGCATTCGCAAACGGTGCAGCACACATGTTGTGGTGGGGAAAGCAATGATTAAAATGAGTCGAACAACATATGATAAACCATAGGAAACCATCAAACTTTTCGGGCGTTGACCTTTGACCCAACCCCTTCCAACGTCATGTTGCCCGTTCACCCGATCCTGCATGCGAAATCGCTCTTTGGATCTCGCATGTTGCCTCGATGAAACAACAAAGTCGGCCCACAGGCCCGCGAGCATTTCAACATCCTGACACTGAAGGGGGCACCTCAAGATAAGTGTGATATATTCTTGTAATCCCCTCATGTTTCCACCACCTTGGAGTAGAAAGCAACAAAGACGTCGGACCATCCCAAATGGAATAAACCTCTGATACGAGCCCTCAGTATACTCAATCAACCTTTGTGGGAGATTTCAAACAATATGTCTTAACTTCAGGTCTAGCAGTCTACCCACCCTTGAGCTCAGTGGCAACAGTCCCAGGCGATGGCAAACATAGCCAAATGATGAACTGCAAGAAGCAGAAAAGTAGAAGACCTGGATGTCAGAGTCTCACCCGATTTTCACAAAGCTAGGATTAAACATAATTTTCCAGTATATGTCATATATATATAATATGTATATATGTATATAAGTGTGTATAATATATGTCTAGAGAGAGAAAGAGAGGATTGTGCAATTCAAGTGACTAGTTTGTTTACACTGCAACTTATTCAAAAACATGGTTTAGAACAACCAATCGGATACTCAAAGAAATGAACGATAATTATAAAAGACTCATGTCCATGTCACTGGCTAGTTTATTTCCAAAAGTTGCCTAGCGTGACCTTGGCTTTAGCCTCAAATTGCACATCCCTGGGGCCTAATTGAGCCTGATCTTGGAACACCCCCCCAAAAGAAAAACAATAATTCACTAGATCTTGGTGCTGAATCCTATTGCTGATATCCCCACTTGGCTGCGTGTGTACAGTATGTTCAACTCTTGTCAATTGCAGACAGTGGCATTCATGGCCCAAAAAAGTAAAACTGGTTCGAAACCACTCGGTACAATAGGGATTTGAACCATCAAACGGTGGGATTTCATCAACAAGTCGTGAATATGCACAAGGCTCATTGCATAGTGCCATCTAGTTCCCCGACTGCTGAAGGAAACTGCTGCCAAAATCTGTTGGTAAATGCATCATTTGGTTAGTCATGTTCCGTATTTTTTTCCATGGCAAAAAGAAGGCTCCCCTTCCCTTTACTGTACATCCCTTCCCCATTCAACTTTGCGCGAAGAAACGTAAGCATCGTAGCCTCCAAGTCTGTCTGTCTCGCACTCCATGACCTTAAAGTCTCGCTGGATGACAACACCAAAATGAAAAATATCCATGGCCCATATCATCCCACCTTACTGGTTCACTGGTTAACTAGTAGGTATCCCTGTTGTGGACTATATTTCATAAACATTCATAAACCAGGCAATCTACCCAATCTACCGCCCTATCTCATAACCAAACAACAAGAGCATATTTAATGGCTCAACTGGGAAGCGGCAAATTTTCATGGTACAATGGCCTTCTCACTTAAACCTTTCTAACACTTGAAGCAGCGCTCTTAGATCTTCACCAAAAAAAAAGTAGCAACACTGCAACACTCTGCACAAATATACTGAAGTGGAGCTACCCGCTGCCCTCCGGCAAATTAACGAAAAATCCATAAACATATATAAAAATCCTTTGTTTCCGTTTCCCAAGGAACATTGCCGATACTGAATTTACTGGAGAATATGTATTGGGGGTTCCAAAGGCTATCAAAAGATAGATTGAAAGATCGTCATAAGGCTCCATGCAAATGCAAGTGTTCAGGGGACTGTTGCCTCACGATGTGCTCCCGCTACGATTGAACTTCTGCGGGCTTCACACCATACTGTGGATGCTTGCGAAATCCTGCACCAGTTGATAGATGCTTTATCCATTTTTTTGTAGGGTTTCAACCATCCAAGGTGGTGAAGGATTTCTTCCATCAACAGTATCTAAAGAAATGGAAACACAGAAAACACAAAACAAAACGTTGTGTTTCTTTGCATAGTAGGCCAATGTTACATCATGTTGCTCGTGCCGTACCCTACCTGAAACAACAATATCATAGAGGGGTTTCCATGATCATTTTGCCAGAACATTCTGTTCTGGGCCTCCTGGCGCGATCCCTGAAGTGATCCATGCATTTTAGCCGAGGAATATCCTATTACCCAGCACACGGGCTTCCAAAACCCCTGAAACCACCATCCAAAAGTGTGACGCTTGAGCAACTGTCAAAGGACCCAATCGTCTCTGCACATGCCCCAAGGGCCTTGGTATGCTGCCATGACCAATGCAGCACTTCAGCATGTAGATTCGCTGTGAACAAAGAGAAGATGGCCGTCAGCAACGAAGCAGTGTTTGGGTTCTGTCCAAAGTGGCAATTCGATTTACATAGATTTAATATCATTCAATAATCCTATTTCATTGCCATTTCGATGATGATATGATCATAGACAATGGGCTTGCAGGATGACCCAAATTCTGGAAAACCCCCTTTTTTTAGAACCAGCAAAATGCCTACCGGCAGTTGAATGTTCATCCTCCATGGCGATGAATCAATCCTTAGATAAGCAATCGACCTCAGAATATAGCCTGTACAAACGGGTATGCAATGCCAGGATTTCATACCCGTGTTTGGGATAAAGAAATCACACGCCTGTACCAGCGCTTGGAGCTCAAACATGAGGGGGTCTGCACTTCTGGGGTGTAGCCGTAGTGTAGCTGATGCTGCAGCTAGTAGCCCTTCAGCATCTCAGACACACAAGGTAGTGCCCAGTTATGTTGGCTGGGGTACGTTTCCCAACCTATCATTAGTTCAAATATATCTGGATAAATTAACATAATTCACGAACCTGAATTAACGCCATTTGGGGATGATTTCCCTATTGTTTCCCCTACTAACCATCATTCCAGGGTTCGGTCGCAGTGAGGTCGTTGTAATTTACCCATGTATTGGCTACACCATGATTCAGCCAGGTGATCTACTGAACCAAATGTTGCGGCAACTGGATGAATATTTGGATTGGGGACACCACCTTAACCGTGCATCAATGTTCTGGAAGTACGATACCCTCTGGTAAACATACAAAAAACTATGGAAAATCCCCATTTTAATGGGTAAATCCACCAAAAATATGGTCAATTTTCAATAGCTATGTTAGTTTACCGGAGGGTACCTCAAAATCCCATGGTTGGTTATAATTTCTGCTCTGGAAAAATGTCGAACGGGGCATCCCCAATTCTTGGAGAAATTCTCCCCTTTCAGCGAAGAAACTCTCACGCCTTCTGTCTCGGTCTGAAAGACCCTGCCAATCGAACATGACGAAGCTGGCCAAGAATTTCTCGCTCTCGTCCTGACGAAGCTGGTGGTCCATGTGATGGGTTCCTTGACAACGACATACCCTCTGTTAATTTACTGCGTAACAGTTTGCTATGAGAAATCGTCACTGGTTGGTGGTTTTAACCATCTTGAAAAATATGAAAGTCACTCGGAAGGATTATCCCATATATTATGGAAAATAAACAATGTTCCAAACCACCAACCAGGTCATGTTTAATAGGGAAATAACCGAAATATATAAATTAATCTGAGGGCATCATGGCTTCCTTTTTGCTATGTTGGATGTCCATCCTTTGGCGCCAGGCTTTCCATATACGGGCCGTGGTATGTCATCTGGGAGTCTGGAAGACAATGAGAATTGTAACAAAATACCATCATGACATATATGATATATTTCTTGAAGATTGTGTCCCCTTTGTTTCTGGTTTGAATATTATACGTGGGCATGAATTCAAATCTAGGACACAGGGCCATACACATTTTGGTCATGTTTCCCTGCCACTGAAAATTTATCCATGTGGGACCCCAAATTTGCGTTTCGCAAAGAACCCTGAGTACAGCGTTACCAACTCTTTCCCTGACCTCAAGGGACCATTGCGTCTCACAGCAAAGCGTCGTAGCTATTTCGCGCAAATTGTCCTCGAGATGGTGCGGGGGCTGGTGATGGTGCGGTTGTTGCCGTCGAGACTGCTGATTCGGTTTGTAAAACTCCTATGCCATTTCATTGGAAGAGTACCGTTCTATCAATGATTCCAGTCTATGACGTTTTTGAGGGGAACCCCTTTCGAGTCCCCAGTTGACATTAATTCAATACAGTATAGTGTGACAATGCTTTCCAACCATTCTCAGATTCTGGATGTCCATGAACAACGGATAACCCCATGATCCTATCGATTGCTCACAATATGATCCAGGCCGCCTTTCGAGACGATCGAACCGCTTGGCATGACTGCTGGTAGCTTGAGAATAAGGTTCTACGAGTATCAACCACTTATGGCTGGAGAGTTGATGTGGAGATTGAGTTGGTGCAATGGTGCCACACTGGTGTCCAACAGATTCTTCACGGGAAGCATTTTGCAGGAGACCCAGTAGTTGCACTTGCAAATTCCATCCCTTAATTAAGTTTGTTTTGAAGCAACCCACTGCGTCTCAGCAAGGGGATTCTTGAATCTCAAAGGACTGTTTCTACAGGACAATTCAACGATGCAAACGTTGAAAACCCTTCAAGTTCGGATGCCAGGTGGCAACCCAATTTTCCGACCATTAGCTACAAGGCGAGGGCCCCTAGATAGCTAACTTAGCTAACTTGACTTATAATTCGGCTCACTAGGGCCACTAGGGGTTTATGGGCTATGCAACTATAGTTAATGGGTTTATCGACAAACTTGCAGTTGTGTTCAGACGCTAAAAAATGGCGGGCGATTCACCATGCCGGCAATACAGCATGATGAACACTCCCCATGCATTCCGTGAGAGGGTATATAGATCCTAATTGATGTCGATTTTCCACGTGGATGTCAAAATGGGAGAGATACAGCACTTTATTCTAAGTGGACCTTGATCTTCAACCATTATATGCTGACTTCTTCCCATAATTTTCGGACAAAGCCACATCATATTGTTGGTTATATCAGTTATATCCCAAAAATATCCCTAAGAATGTATAGAAGTCCGTCAGGTGTGTTAATAACTTTGAACAAACATAAGGGGCTGAATGGTAAATTTCAAACATGGTTTTCGTTTTTATGGCCAAATTTATGATCACCAAATTTCTATTCAGTGCATCCTGCACATCTGTTTGGCCCCGGCGCTGCTAAAGTGCAAGAACAAACAAGACCAAAAAATCTGATCTCTGCCTCCTAGTGGTTTTTGGGCCTTCCTTTCATTTTATGTGTTTTTAGGCACTCTTAACATCCCAAACATTTTGTTTGAGGCATTGGTAAGCAGGTTTGGGCATCACCAGCTTTTCATGTTGATAGTTGAAAGGTAGGAAGGGCAACATTTTTTCCTTGGCAGTGCTTCTTTGCTGCTGCTTGTGAGCATGTGGCTCATATTGTCACAGCGGCTAGATGATGGCTCGAGCTCGGACCAGGTTGGGTGTGATCAGAAAAATCCGCAAAAAGCGGTGCCCTGGTGAGCGGCGCCAGGGTTTTAGCCTTCCTGATGGTTGGGTCTGGTGTTTGCAGACTGGTGCAAGCAGGAAGAAGTATGATCTTTGGTTCGACAATCATAGGATGTATTTTTTCAATGCTTTCAATCTTTTAAGGGCCATCTGTTGATGCCATGTATGCAGTTGTTAGCTGTTTGCGTGAGGTAGAACTGCTGCCAACTTCAACTTTAATACCACCTAATTCACACTCATCCGCATCACATAAATCATACTCCTCCTTCTCCTCCTCCTCCTCATCATCATCATCATCACCATCACCATCACCACCACCACAACCACCACCACCATCATCATCATCATCATCATCAGTAGCATCATCAGTAGCATCATCATCATCATCATCATCATTATCATCATCGTCACCATCATCATCTTCATCATCATCATCATCACCCTCATCATCATCATCCCCCATCATCCCCATCATCATCATCATTATCATCATCATCGCCATCGTCATCATCATCATCATCGTTACCATCATCGTCGTCATCATCATCATCGTCATCATCATCATCGTTATCATCATCATCGTTATCATCATCATCACCACCATCATCATCATCATCGTCATCGTCATCATCATCATCATCAACATCATCGTCGTCATCATCATCATCGTCATCATCATCATCATCATCCCCATCATCATCAGCATCATCTTCATCATCACCATCATCATCATCAACCTCATCATCACCATCATCAACATCATCGTCATCACCATCACCATCATCATCATCATGACCAACACCATCGCCATCATTGTCGTCATCGTCATCATCATTATCATCATCATCCTCCTCCTCCTTACCATCAAAAAATCAACAAAAACATCAACCTCATCACCAACATCACTATCACTAATACCACCAACATCACCGACATCACCAACATCACCAACACCAACAACATCATCAACATCACCGTCATCATCATCACCATCATCATCATCATCGTCATCGTCATCATTATCATCATCATTGTTACCATCATCATCGTCATCATCATCATCATCGTCATCATCATCATCGTTATCATCATCATCGTTATCATCATCATCATCACCATCATCATCATCCCCATCATCATCATCATCACCCCCATCATCATCATCAGCATCATCTTCATCATCAACCTCATCATCAAACTCATCATCAACCTCATCATCAACATCATCAACATCATCGTCATCACCATCACCATCATCATCATCATGACCCCAACCCATGAGGAAACGATTTTCGTACTTCAAGTTGCTGCTGGGCAACCACGGTGCGTATTTCATGGGATACTCAAGCCACCTATCTCTTCAAGTTTGTCAGCGTTGAATGCATCCAAATGCCGGAATTTGGCGACTTTTTCACAGGCAGACATTCGGATCCTTATCAATGCCCGGCCAACGGTTGTGGCAGATGGTTCTGCAGAGGGAGAGGCTTTTAGTTGGGTCCAATTTTCTGAGAAGTACCCTGTCCCGGGCAGTATGGAGCTGCGTCAAGTGCACATCCGGCCTTTTGGTATTAGCTAGGACTATATTTTTTGTAGTTGGCCTAAACATTTAACAGTATCAGAGTCTGAGATGAGATGTCAAGCTAGTAAACCACTTACCCAAGGGTTGTTCAATGACAAAGGGTTTCGCAACACTTTGGTTCGTCACGCCTTTCCCATTTCCCACAAGAAAGTATTGCCATGATAGGGGGGATACGTTTGCATTGGCTTCAGTCGTGGGTCAATTTGGGCGAGGTTGATTTGATTCTGATTTTGAAGATTTCAAAAAAAAAACGCCAACTAAAACAGAACCATTTTCGGGGCCATCCTAGGCGAGGGTCCTTTGGGGCATGCGTGCCGAAAGTTCAACCCCAGCAGCCTTGCGAATCAGCCCTGGTGCCATTTGACAAACATCAGGGTGAACCCAGTGCACGCGCAGGGCCGACACACATAGAATCTTTGCTCCAACGAATTGAAGATGCATCCAAGCAGAATTGCCAAGAGATTGTGAAACAACTTTTGGGGGAAGTGTCAAGATGTTGTTCATTGCTTGAAGCGAAGGCTGCCCGACCTTCTGCAGTTGCAGGGAAGCCTCTTCCAGGTGGTTTGAAGTACCGTCCAGACTTCATGCTTTGGTCGGTGCTTCTTTCAGACAAATTGACCCTAAACTGCGTTAGTTAGTTCTGCCTGGTTTTTGGCTGTGACCAAAATCAACTCAACGATTTGTAGATGCTTGTACGGTTGTACTGCTGTCTTTGAACCTGTTTTGTTTAGAGCGGAATTTAAATTGAAGTCATATGATTCAGGGAAGCATTGTCGCACTTTGCACAAGGACATGCCCAGACAAGTTAGCTGCCGCCATTGTTTTGCAGGGTGCCTCAGTGTCCACTCCAGTGCTGATTGCAAAGTCAGAATTATATCCCATATCCCATTGCTAGGCCTAAGATGAGACTACACCAAGAACCAAGGACTAGCTATGTACTTTGCACAGGCGCAAGATTGAAGTATCGATTGGTACACATCTAACTGCCGCGCCTAATTGATCCATATATGTTTGAGGTGGATTTCATGTATGTTTGAGGCTTGAGGTGAATTTGGCCACCTAAGGCTAGAATCTAAGGTGCAAGTGCAATGTAATTTGCATCATGACTTTTGTTGTGATCAATGAAATATCAATGATAATGAGATTCTCTTAGTGGGTCTCTTGCTAGTGTCATTTTTTGTTGCTCTGTGCCCAGGTCGATGCGTTTGTGCTTGCCGCGCGAACTTGTGGAGCACTTGACCCGACAGGGTTTGCAGTGCCCTTCAAGACAGGCACTTCAGAGAAGCAGAATAGAAATGGATTTAGCATCTATGATCTATTCAAAGCGTTATATACTGAATGCTTCTGGTTCATTTTGGTTGCATCTTCGTGCAGATTCAAGCCCTCAAGGGGGCAGAGACTTCTTTGTGTCGGAATTTGACCTTGTGAAATTTCAGTGCAGCAGGGATGGTTCTGATGGTTCTGGGGATGTTCAAAGGGGCGATCACATCACGCAACTCTTGAGTAGTGGACAGATGAAGCTGACAACACGACTCCTTCCACTTGCCATTGTTGGATCTAGGGCAGGATCAGCCGTGCACAAAGGACGTCTGTTGCTGAGATCTCTTCAACTGGATTCAGAGGATTTACGAGTCAGCATTGGCCGGACAATGACAATGATGTTTGATTTTGGTGCAGAAGCAGGACCATCCTTTTGACAATGATGTTTGATTTTGGTGCAGAAAGTTTGCATTGGTCCTAGTCATTTCTATGACTAAACTAAACTTGAGCTCAAACATATTATCAGCTTGTTGCAGCTTGTTTGAGTGGTACCACTGTTTGAGTCGGACAGATGATTTCCATAACCTAAGTCTCATCCACAGCCACCCAATTTTGCACTTGCAGGATTGTGGACTCTTTCTGCTGAGGGTGGCGTTGGTAGACTCTTCAGCAATGCGT